ACTGGTATTGTGTCTGTTAGAGACTCATATGTTCTAAAATACACAAGTTGCACATTTTCAAACTTTCCTCCACATCATAGCCTTACAGAATAACTCAGGTTGAAAGGGACTTCTGGAGGTCATTAGGTCCAGCCCCTGCTCAGGGCAGGTACAGCTGAGACCTTTGACCATGCGTATGGTGAAATTTTTTTTCCTAATATTCAATTTAAATTTCCCATGTTCTAATTTGTGCCAATTTATTTTTTGTCCTGTTGCTGAGCTCCTTTGAGAAAAGTCTGGTTCCATCCATTCACTCTATCTTTCTGTTAGATTCTTGTAGACAGAAACAGGACTTCTTACACTCTCCCTCTGTGTCCTGTGCTGTTGGTGGTCTTTCCCTGGATTCATTCCAGTGTGTCAGTGCTTGACTTGATCTGGGGAGCCCAAAAATTGATGTAGTGCTCCAGAGGTGATCTCGCAAATGATGAATACAGGGTAATAATTACTTTCCTCAACTACACTCTCACTGACAAGGTGCAGCTGGCCACCTTTGTCACAAGGACACACTGCTGACTCATGTTCACCTTAGTGTCAACCAGGATATCAGTCTTATTTCAAGGCCAGGCTGGATGAGGCTTTGAACAACCTGGTCTAGTGGAAGGTGTCCTTGCCCCTGGCAGGGGGGTTGGAACTTGATGATCTTTAAGGTCCTTTCCAAGACTAACCATTCAATGATTCTGTGATCCTATGATTCTTATTCTGCAAAGCTACTTTGTATGGGGTTGACCTCCAGGCTATGTTGTTGAATGAGTTTATTCCATTCCAGATGCAGCACTTCACATGCACCTTGGATTGAACCTTTGAATTTCCCATCAGTCCATTTCTTCAGCCTGTTGCTGTCCAAAATAGAAACCCTGCCCTCCAGTGTGTCAACTATCTTGCTCCAGTTTGTTTTTCTGTCTGAAAACGTTTCTTGTACAGTCTGTCCCATTGCTAAGGTCATTAATGAGGATGCTGAATGGTAGTGGTACCAATATCTGTCCCTGAGGGACGCCACTAGTAATTCAGTGGGAGCTGATCACAATGCGTTGATCCCACATGGACCTTGGTCCCACTGTTTTTCCACTCACCTTTGTCCACTTACCCATATCTCACCAACAGAGGCTATGTTAAAGGCCTTGCTCAGCTCAAAGTATGCAGCATCCAGTGTTCTCCCATTGTCCACAGCAAGTCTGGATAAACGTGATATGCCTTTTGTAAATCCAGTCACCTTCTTTGTGCACTTTGAAAAAGCTTTAGGGGGTATTGCTTCATAATCTTCCCAGGGACCAGGATCTATAACAACTGAAAACAGTTTTAAAGAATAAATTTCTCTAAAACAAAGTCTGCCTTTCATATAGAGTTAGGCACGTAGCTCATACTTTAAAATGGGAAAAGACAACACATGTGCATATGTTTCCAACACAACAACTGTGGTTTTTCAACCCTCAAAAGAACCAGGAACATACCATTCTATCTGTACAATTTTTCAACAGACTATACTGTCAGTTTTACCATCTGTCTTCCAAACATACCTTTGTCCAATGCTGTAATTAATGTTGCATACACTACAAATAACTTGCTACACAGCCCTTCTAGTGGTCACTCTCTTGGCCTTCACAGCCATGTGAAGCAAATACAGGCAAAACTCTCCCTGTGAGTGGCAGGAGCAATAGCTAGGCTGGCTTTTCAGGACTGTGGTTTAGGTGAAGACGTCAGCAGGGGTCATGGTTCCTTGAGCAGTAGGAACATCAAATCTCAATTGTATAGGAGACCTCAAGGCCAAACCATTAAATATATTCACACAAAGGGCTGATGTATATTAAATGCATATGCGGGGAGAGCAGTACATTCTAAGTTCTGTCTTCAGTTATCCTACCTCATATTAGCAGGAACTGGTTTTCATACTTTGACAGTCACCGGGAGCTTCACCACTGACATCAGTGTGAGTAAAGTCTCACTTATACTTGTCTCTTTGTTATTTCTTTATTACAAGAAATGCAGCATATAATTTTCAGATATGAGGTATCCAGAGTTAACAATTTACAATTGAGACTTACAACTCTGTATGACTGCAGTTATATGGCAAGCAGAACACTTCTGTTCCTTCACAATACGTTATTGAAAGAGAGTCAACAGCGGATTCTCAATGCCAGATTCTGAGCTGCTGTTTACAAGTGATGCTGTGTGGGTTTCAGGAGATTACAGCAGTATGCACACACTGAAAATTTCACTGCGTTTAATCCTAATGCTATTCTTAAAAGTGATTTATTTCTAGTTGTTCAGAATCTCTTAGTGCCTGTTCATCCACTAGATGGCATGATGACTCTGGTCTACTGAAAAGTGAAAGCAAGTCTGCTCTCCGGGGTCACTTAAGGTACCAAAAACAGAGAAGCACAGACCAGAAGTTAAAGGGCATTAAATCTCTAGGTGGAAGTTCTAATTCTGAAACAAAATTACCTTTATTCTGTGTAGTTTAAGCTTTAATCATCCAAACTGATTCTTCTATAAGCTTTCTATGGTGAAATGAGAGATTTTTTTGCACTGGGCAGTCTGTCCTTCTGTTATTCCAGTAGGGCAGCCTGCCCCAGGGTACTTTGTATGAATCCAAGGCAATATAAAATAAAAATTGCTAATTTTAATTGAAAACATGTTTGTTTTTTTTAATTTAGATTATTTTTAAGTCTCATTTCCCAGAATGAGACTGGGACAGTCTCATGAGACAGGATGGTTGAGTTTGGCAGGTGCTTGAGCAGGGCCACTTGAAGTTGGTTGCCCAGAACCGTGTCCAGGCAGCTTTTAGACATGTCCAAGGATGGAGACTCAACAAACTTTCTGGGCAACCTGTGCCAGTGGTCACACACCCTCACAGTAAAAGAAGTGTTTTCTGAGGTTCAGACAGAACCTCCTGTGTTTCAGTTTGTGCCCATTGTCTCTGGTCTTGTCACTGAACATCCCTGAGAAGAGCCTCCCTTCCTCTTCTTTATGCCCTCCCTTCAGTTGGGTGCCTTCTCTTCTCCAGGCTGAACAGTCTCAGCTCCCTGAGCTTTTCCTTATAGGACAGATGCTCTAATCCCTTCACGAGATTCATGGCCTTTTGTTGGACTCTGTCCAGTATGTCCATGTCTCTATACTACTGAGGAGCCCAGAACTGGATATAGGACTCCAGGTGTGACCTCACAGGAGATTATGTTGTAGTAATATTGCAAAAGTCTTACACAGTTCTTTTTGCTATAAATGTGATAACATCTATGGAAATACATTAATTTTAATGCACATCTCAGATTTCTGTACTAATAACCAAAGAACACAAAAAGAAGTGACAACTGCAGCATTTTTTTGGTCATTATTACCATCACATACTCACCTCCAGCTCTACAAAAGTTCTTTGCCACTCTCAGAAATCACCCCTTTTCTTTCTGACAAGGCTGTACTCTTCACTGCTGGTAAATCACATTAAGAGTTGTCACGTTTTGATTGCTACTGTTTGTCCTCTTTCTTCCCTTGGTTGGCCATGGGGCTTGATACAAAAGGAGTGACATCACAACAGCCGTTTAGTGGGTTTGGTTTTCACCATCCTAACTACATGCCAGGCTAAGAGAAGTCAATGAGATATCAGTATGTTTCAGAGTAGTATGGTTCATTGCTGACCCCATACACTTCCTCATTGTACCTTCTCCTCTTACCCCTTTCCAGCTTCAAAATTTGTCCTAGAGTTTTTGTTTCCAAGATACTCAGTTATCATCCTTTCTTCTTCACTACATGCCCAGGACTCTAACTCTATTAATAATTGACCTTGTAATTATCTTGGAAATGAATATTCTGTCTTGCTCAGCAGCTGCTGTCAAAAAATCTTCATAGTGAATAGCAACAGGTTTTCCTGCCTTTATGCATGACCTACTATTAGTATTCTGTCTGCGGGAAGAAATGGTACTGTGGGAATAAAGCAGCTCTCTCTTACATTGGCATGCATCCATTCTGTGAAGCTGCCATAGAGACAGTGAGTTTTATCTAGAGGGATCTTTAGGAACAGGATCCAACACTGCACACAGTCTAATGAGGCAGTAATAAAATGCAATATTAGATGTTTTATAGTGAGTGATGAATATGGACACCTGAAAATACAAGTCATCCATGAAAAGCTGTTTCGTTTGCCATAGATCTTTTAATTTAATGTTGAAAAGAATCTACACATATATTGCATACATATTTTTCCTACTCAAATAGCCATCCATAAGTCTGAAGATTCACATTCAATAAAAACTTACAGTGAAATGAAAGGACTTCCCTGCTCTGTAAGCCTGGACTTGGTAACATTAGATGTTCTGCATCTAATTTTCACTTTTTAAGTCCATCTCTGTAACAAAGCTGAAGCTCAAAACCAAGCCTTCTCCAACAATAAGAAAATTCCTGTTTTTAAGAAGCCAAAAAGATTAAAGTTTACAAAGATATCTGTAGTAGAACACTGTTTTTTATACACCCCTGAACTAGCAGGAGATTTGTCTCTGACCTTTGCATCTCAAGGTATTTCCTATCAGAAGAAAGTATAACTAGGGATAAGGTCAAAGGAGAAAAAGAAAAAAAAAAAAAAGGTGAATACTGGCTGTTGTAGAAACGCGGTAAGTCTCTTTTATTTCAGTACAGAAACATGCAGAACATTTGGCTATTCAGAATCAAAATTTCAGTTATATGTATGAGTAAATACAGAAAGAGTACATGTACATTTTGTTTCCTGTGACATGCAAAATTCTGCATACAGCCTTGAATTATTTATTTACAGAACTCCCATACCTATAAAAACTTCCCTCAGTCCCCAGACCTCCTTCATCAGTTTACCTTACTGTTATTCAATTGAAGGACTGAAACAAGTGAAAAAAAGCCAGACTTACACACTGTAAATTTGTGTACCTACTAAAAGGAGAAGCAGCTGCAGGCATGTGGTTCATCCTAATAGTGTACCACTTTTTTCTTAGACTCACTGTTCACCCAGCATTAGCTGAGTATGAGGACTTGAGCGTCATTGGCATATGGTACCTCACTTGTTTCCAGAACTTAGAATTGGATGACTGTGGGTGCACAGTGTGCTGCTCTTTCCATTTGACAGTACCTTGCTGCTTAATAATAAACCTAAGAGATTCCTGAAGCTTCTCATAAGTCCCAATTGTCTCCATTTCCAGCAGTATCACCTTTGCATCATTTTGAATGAGGGCATTGTATAAAGCAATGTGTTGATCATAAGCAGGTTCTTTACAATTAATCAGCTGGTGTGTTAGGAGGATGATCAGCCGTCTGCTCTTCTGCATCCTTTTCTCAATTGCACTGGCTGTATCTAGGAACGTACAAGAAAATAATGAGATCCTGAAAGTTCTTTTATAAATTCTTTTGTGTTTAGGCACTATGTTTTCATTGATTTTTAACTAGAAATGACTTCTATCTCACTTCAGTCTCATAGAGTTTATTCATTAGAAAAAGAGCTTAAAATAAAGGGGGCAAAAAAAAGAAAAAAAACCCTAAAACAAATTTTTCATTTCAAAAGCTTTCTTTGGTTGAAACATTAATATTTTCACTGCTCTTAAGAATTGTTAGGAATTTCTAATCCAACAACCTAGGGTCAAATTCAGTAGATCTAGATTGCATCAAATTTGTGCTTGATCAATAGTCTCCATGTAAGGAATCACGTTCTATCAAGTTTAGTGCTTTACAGACTGATCCTGCAATACTTATCCGTCCTTACCCACTTACCTATTAAGTCATTTGGAGACTTGGGTGACTTACTTCTAAGAGGCTTATTTACTGGCAGAAGGTGTGTTAATTCTCCAGAGCTATAGCTAACCTGTGCATTGGGTTGGCATCTGCCCTGTGGGGGTGGATCCAGACCTGCAGGGCATTTGTATGTCAGCATGACTAAGAGTGTTTTTCTTTTCCACTGCTGTGTTAGGGACAGCTGATCAACCACAACTGGGACTGTGATGTTGGAGATGTTGAACCTAGGAAACTGAAGAGCCAGCATGCTATGGGAGAAACTACTTGGCTGTCTTGGAAAGTTCCACATCAAGCCTCCAGGAGCTGCTTTTCTCAATGACCTGCTGTGATGTCTACATCAGCAGCAGGAAGACTGCAGATGAGTGCCTGTCCAGTGAAATGTTTGTCCCAGTTACAAGAATTTCCTATGGTCTGTAAAACAAAAGATGGAATTGTTTTGGTGGGAGCATGTCATGCTGGGCCCAAGGAAAGAAGGTGGGAGCTGATCTAAGGAACTTCAACGTAAAAATTATTTAACAAAGCCACTGATTTGCAGATGTCATCAGCCAGCTGCGTACGCATCCTCTTGTCCTTTGTGAGGGGCTGCCAGCCCATTGCAAGGGTCTCCTCAGTCTCAGAGATGCCCAGCTTTTTCAGTTCCTGGGTCAGGAAGAGAACTGTTTCTCTGTCCTATTTCTTGATTCTGAGAGTATCCTATGAAAATAATTCACCTTTCTGTGATGTTCATCAATTCTAACTCCTTTCATTGTCTTCTTCTTTTTCATTAAATTTTCCTCATGTTAGGAGAATAGATCCTTTGGGAGGTGAGAAAATTTAAAGAATATGTTAATTCCCATAATAACAACATTTTAAAAAAAAATCTTTCTCAGTTTTAAGGTGCAGCCCATTGTGCTCAGGACCGAGGGACCATGGACATAGGAAGGCATTTACTTCTCCATTTAGATTTCTGATGCCATCCTTGTGGCAACAGGAAGGATGAGGCTGCATGCTATAAATCCTTTAACCAAGGAATTCGTTACAATTTGTTTTGTGAATGCCAGAAGCTTACATGAGTTCAGAAAGTGACAGAAAGTATTGTGAAAGAAAAACCCATCAGTAGCTATTAAACACAAAAATTCAAGCATCTGAAGTCAATGTACTACTGGGAGTGTACATTAGTGGAAGTTTAATATAAGCTTGCCCAGTTCTTAAAATCTTTTCCAGTCATTTGCCCATGGCCACTGCTGAAGGTAGGATACTTCGCCACACAGAACATTGCTCCAGTGAAGTATAATCATTCCTCTGATATTTGCTCGTGGTTTTGTGTATTAGAGACACAGCAGCTCCAGCAGTGCTTGGTTAGATTCTGTGGCAAGGAATGCAGTTGGCAGGAAATTTGACGATGAGAAGAATGGAGTAGAAGGAGATGTTGGTGAAACATATTGATTTGCTGGGCAATGCTTGCATTTGCACCTCTTGGGGCAACGATTAGGTTGTAGAAAAAGCAACTAATCAGTAAGACCAGGGAAAAAAAAAAGAATGCTGGTTTAGGGAAGCATGATGGGAGTCCAACAGCTATGCAGTGCTGGTTTTTTTCACTTAGATCTTTCTGTTTAACTTTGTTTTTTATTGGAAGAACATGAGTTTAAAGTAACAAAACTTTGCTCTGGAACTGAGTCATAAGCATTTCCTGAAATAATAATTCCATTTGATATCCTCACCACACTTTTTTTCTGGAAATACATGGACTTTTACAGTGAAAAATATGACTCATTAAGTGCTACGTTACATGCTCAGGAAGGATTATAGTAGCTCAAAGTGGCATTTCCTGTTTTACTCTGTGCTTAGCATATTTTAATTGCAAGATTTGGGATTTGAAAACCTGGTAATAAAAGACTCAAGAGCAGAAGATATATAAACAAGAGTGGGGAGCATATGAGTAAAGTCTATCTGCCTGGAAGCAGAGAACTTTTTAGTGCTTATAGTGCCAGCAGATTCTGCATAGATTTTCCACCCAAGTGGAAGCGTTTTGAGGCATGAAAGTGGATAAGGAAGAGAAAAATAAAAAGCTGTGAAAGTGGGCAAGAAGAGAAAAAGAAGGACAATGGTCAAAGCTGGGGTCATTTTTAGAGTTTTGATTAAATCAGAGCAAACAAGTCAAACAAAAGTTACTCCCTGTCCAAGGCTGGCTTGTTGAATCTTCTGTCACAGGCATCCATCCATGCCTTTGTACAGTGAAAATGTCTTTGTTTTCAGACAACTTATTACAGCCCACGATAGTACCACCCTCTTCAGCTCAATTGTACACCATGTCCAGTTTTCTTCAGGCTTGCCATCCATAAACCACAGTTTGAGGGTAGTGTCCCGTAACAAAATATTGCACGGTCCTTAATCAGCTGAACAGGTGGCATAAGTTTTTGTCATTGACAGTTTTGTGAGCTACTGTTAGTTCCTTGGTTTGGATCTGGCGTGCTGGGAAGGTTCTGGCTCAGCAACTCTTGCAGCTTTTTTTGCATTCTTGTTGCAGTGAGTTTTCCCAAGGCCAGGTAACACTTCTGCTGCTCTCCAGAAGAGAAGGATATCAAAGATGTCAGCCCAGCTCTAGGCAGGTGAATCACACCTGGCCCAATGCAGACGATTACAGAAATGTGTAGCAGAAAATGTGCCAGCTTTGGCTTCATGCCTGCTTACAAACAGGGAGAGAAGATCTGGTCCACAGAACAACCAGAGCACAAATTAATCAGACAAGTCAGCTCTGAAGGAAAACAGCCATCACCTAGATGACAACAATCGTAAGAGATATAGCAGAGGTGTCCATATGGAAACTAGCACAGATTAACTAACATGATTCCATTCTGGAAGACAAGAAAGCAAGAATAAAGAATAAAGCTCTTGAATGAGCACTGGGAATTGTATGAAGTGAAAGCAGGTCATGTCAGCGAACAGAAGCTGAATGTCCTGTGACTCTAACACCTTTTCAACAGGTTGAAAACCCCCGAGTGATAATAGCAAGGTTAACTTCTCAACTTAGGTTTGTGGTTTTCTCCTCTTCCTTGTCTTGTAGACCTATTCATGCATGTCTTGGTTGTGGCTTTGCCCAGATAATCACTATGCAGAGCTGTGCTCCCCAAAGAGCTGGTGTATGTTTGAAAGAGTCATACTTGGGGTCAGATTTCCTGCATGACCCAAGAAGACTATAAACAATCTGTGCCCTTGCCCTGTAGCTTACTTTCTTAGCACACTGGCAAGCACAGGTCTCACCCTGCCTGAAAGAGCAGACATACAGCTGCTGAGGACATGAGCAGCCAGCTCACGAATGTAAATTGACCTCCTATACTTCTAAAAGGGACTAAAACCACAATTTGCTCCATCTTGACAAGTCATTCAGTGTGTTATCTGATCTGAAACTTACCTTCTCCAGGATATATATCTCTCCCATAAATACACAGTTTATATCCACATTTATTTTCTAGAATATCTGGCATGAGTTGGTAAACAAAGTATTCCACAAAATTAGCTTCATTGGTGTAGCTTCTAGGGTAGATAACATATGCATCATATATCTTCCCATCTGGAAAGCAAAACAAGAGGAAACTCTATTGTGTTAACATGAATTAGAGCTGTCTATTACAAAAGCTAGAATAGAAATAAAAGTATCAGTCTTTGAAACAGATCTAAGTAGAAGTTGCTGCTAATCTGAACAATGTATATCATTGGGTGCATGTCTGGAAATCAGTGACTATGAACATTCGGTGTTTTCCATGCTCACTTGGTGTGTCCTGTGTGTTTGTAACTTCAGAGAACTCAATCTTTGTATTATGAAGGCTGTATCTCAAAGTATATAGAGTAAGAATTAAATTGATTGATGCATGTTATCATGAAACAGGGACAGAGCTCAGCATTTGTTATTTCAGCGATACAATAGGCTGTTAACAGCCTTTGTCTTTCAGGACAAGACATTCCACTTGAATTCTTCCACCTTGAAGAAATTATTCATCATTCCCACAACATACCACACTCCTGAGTGAAAAGTTCCTTTAGTCAGGAAGCAGTCTTATAGTCAGACCCAAGTATGAAGTAAAATATTTCACTCTTCATTTCTCTCAGATATGTTTTCTATTATAGCATTTTTTTCTAATCCCAAATGTTTAACTTCTTTCTTTCCAGTGGAGATGACCATATCCCTTCTTTTGTTGCTATCTGAGGTTCTTGTCCAGACCATCTTTACAATAAAAAAAAGAGATAGCCATTTCCAGAGTCTGATTAACTTTATCATAAAACATACTTAAGTGGAAACTGCCCTGAAAAGCGTACTTCTTTCCTCATTAAAAAGAACATAAGTAACTAGATCAGTTGTAGATATTTACCATGTAGGTGTCTGTGGTAGGAGTCAGCTTCAGATTTAAAAAAACATTTAGGTGTCTACATGAAAGACAGGTGTCTAAACTCCCGCTACAATCAATGGAGAACTAGCCATTGCAGTCAGTGAATTCTAGAGTGATTCAAATTACTCTAATGTTAAACGTCAGGGGCCCAGCTGAGTTGCCTAAACATAGGCAGCTAGTGCCATCTGAGACTTCCTCCAGTACCCTACCTGATCTCCAGAGTCTGCCCCAGAAGTCTGCAACATCTGGAAGATCTGTGTTATGTGTTCATTTTTTTGGCCCTCCCAAATGACTCTAGATGCTCACGTTTAGACCACTGATGCAAGGTCCCAATGCCTGGTTAGGTGAGTTGATTTTATTGATGAGGAGCTGGATTTGGTCACCTAAAAACTTGTACCACCTAGTGTCATTACGTACTGCCTGCCCTTCAGCTGCCACTGCAGAGGGGTTCAGGTCTCTCTTAAGTCTTAAGGGAGCTCCAACAGCTGCTTACAGTTAGACAATTGAATCCAGCCCCAGGTCTCCAGGTTTCACATCAATGATGGAAGTTTGCATGTGTGCACCTTCATTGCATGCAACTATATTTAAATATCTTGATCTTGAGCTGAAATCCACCCCTAAAGTTGTATGGCATGTATTCCCCCCAAAAGTGTCTTCCACAGTATTGGTACCTTTCTCTTTGACTTATAAAAGCTTTATTCCTCTAACAGATGCCTGTTAACACATAAGCCAACAGGCTGGTTCATTTGCTTCAGAGAGCACATAACAAGTATGTTAATAGTACTGCAAATCAGATTTTCACTGTCATTCAATGTTTCATGTCAAATATTTTTGTAAAAAAGTTTGAAACCAGGATCCCTCTGTTATGTAATGCAGCACCCAGGAAACAAGGGAATGTAAAGCACTACCAGAGTTATGATTTTCTCCCTTATCTAAATGATTTCAGAAAGCATGAGAAAGTGAAGGGTCAGGCTCAGGTGTCATATGAGTTAGTAAGCAACTATCAAATAAATTAATTTCCGTATTATTTGTCTTTTTCCTTTTTTAAAACTTTCTTGCTCAATTCTTACTCACCATCCTTGATTGAGTGGGGCTGAAATATCTCCCGATACAATAGGACAATATCAACTCGGAAGAACTGATAGAGTATAACAGAGACTGCTATTGCAACTAGCAGAACTAGACATCCTATGATCAAGAGGATGTTAGGAAGACCCACTGTAAAAAAGAGGAACATATTGTTAGTCGTAGAGAAGTTAACCCATAGGCTGAGCCAGAGCCTCTCATATCCTTACTTCTGCTTCAGCTTTAAGAAGCTCACAAAAAAGACGACAAACCTTTTTCCTTCCCCAGCTGGTGTAGCCAACACAGAGACTCCTAAACTAGAAGCATACTAAGCAGTATATAATAGTCACTTCCCTTGAATCCAAGCCTACTTACACTAAATACCACAGCTGACAATGATGTTTAAGTATTTTGTAACGTTGTAAAACTGTTAATAACACAACCAGCAACCACGTTCAAGCATTTTGTAAGGCATCTAAGCCTATGCGTGACAACTGCAAGCGTTCACAAAAGGACATGCAGAGGCTTCTGGCATAGGTGCACAAACAGGGTACAGAGAAATGTGCAAATAATGAAATTTGCAAGATAACAACAAAGTACACAAAACAAGAAGGAAAACAGAACATGTCCTGGTCACAAAAATAAAATAAACTATGCTGGAGGAAGATGATGTTCTCCCCTCCCTTTTCCTTTGAAGAGGGTCAAGGAGCATAAGATAGTTATGATGAGTAAAGAAAATAGTGAAAAAATGAGCCACCCACTTTAGTTCCAGCTTCCCTCATGGTTCAGCTGTTGAGTCTGACCACGTCCACCTCAGAGACGAAGACTTATCAAGGATAGATTCAGACTAGGTATAAGGAAGAAATTTTTTACAATGAGGGTGATGAAACAATGGAGCAGGTTGCCCAGAGAGGTTGTAGATGCCTCAACCCTGGAAACATTGAAGTCCAGGTTGGATGGGGCTCTTAACAACCTGATTTAGTTGCAAATGTCCCTGCTAATTGTAGAGGGGTCAGACCAGATGACCTTTAAAGGTCCCTTCCAACCCAAACCATTCTGTGATTCTGTAAGGACAGCAGTCACCAGCTCTGTGTTATCATATGCACACAGTTCATCTAGGACAAGAGTCTGATTATCACTCCACTAGGGAAGAGTGGTGTTTCCATTACAACCCAGATAGCTGCATTTCTGTAACAGCCCACTTTTCCTCTTTCACAGAGCAGAAGTCAATCTAGATATGTGCATCTTCTAGATTACACCTTGTTCTGCTGCAGAAAGAGATGATGGGAGGTAGAAGCAAGGTCATTTTGTACTCTCTCCAAACTAGAAAGATAGAAGCTTAATCCACAGTCATACAGCTACTTTTGACCTGTGTCATAGACATATTGAATTCACCCAGGATTCAGTATTGAAAGCACTATGAATTCCAGATAGTCATGTTTGAAATTAAAATATCAAAGGCTTTATACAGCAGTTACTCAAAGAGGATTAATTATTCCCTTGGAGGGAATATTAATGGCAATTGTCTCATAGTAGAAATCTCCCAAGCAAATGAAAGATACCTAAATCTACTCCACTTGGTTTTAATTTGTAGACTCAGAGCAGGTCCATTTTTCTCTGACAAGTAAATCAATTAAGAGGTTTCCATTCACTGTCCACATTATTTGCCTACTTATTCCTACCTAATATGACAACTCGTCATCCTGTAGTTGTAATAACACCACTGCTTTGGGGACTTTTATGTGATTCAGATCACTGAAATAATATGGTTTAAAAAATACACACCCAGAGGCATTGGACTGGGTGATGAACTTTTACCCCCAAAGAAATGCACCCGAAAACCTCCAGATTGTGCACCACATCTGCATAAGAGAGCCCACTTGCATTTTTATTTTACTATGGTATAGCAAACACAATAATTACCAGATGCAAAATGAGATTTGAAGTATGCTGCAAATTCTGAATTATCTTAGCTGAAGAAAAAAATATTCCTTTGAATGTTGGCCCCATAAAAATTTAAGTACAAGCATTCTGGCAATACTAACATGTAGGTCAGCTCTGGCATCCTCATTATAAAGACCCTTTACAGCAACTCAGTGCATGGAGGGTACCAGGAGCAACTCCACCCAGCCACACCCTGTGCATTCAGAACAGGGATCAGTTCAGGACTTTTCCACCCTCTGCCTGCAAAACACACACAAGATATATGTGGCTGCAGCCTCAGGCCATTCACCGGCACTTGAGGAGGTGCATCTTACAGGAGACTGAAGAGGCTGTCTCTATTTCCTCTACAGCAGAGGGATCAAGGCAGATTGGACAATGCTGCAGATTATACACAGACAGTAATTATGCTACCAGGTGAAAGCACTGACCACTACCACCACCAAGGATCATTTTCAGATCTTTGACTTGAACTTGGCACTAAGTGAATGAAATAAGATAAAATATTTATCAGTGAAGAGTCTTATATTGAAATTTACAAGTTACCTGACTTCTCCAGGAGATGTTGGATAAGGCAGTGTATTGAGAAATACTTATTGAGGCAACCTAAAAACATTAGTGCCTGAGAAATTCCACTGAAAAGCTATATAAATAAAGAGTTTACAAGTACATTTTCCCTTTCCTCTGGTAGGATGTGAGGTAAATCTGACATGATTTTCACATTCTTCCTGTTTTTTGCTTTGCCATTTAAAGGAAGAAAAGAACATCAGGCACATGGTGAAACCTATCTCCCCAGAACTAGGGGAGATCTAGAGATCTGGGGAAATCAGCTTCCAATAAGGTCACAGTAGACAAGAAAAAACCCAGCATCTTTTATACTGAAGTTTGGCAGTTTTGTAGTTTTAACAATGTCATGTGATGCCCATGAAGGAACTTTCTCCTTGTGGACCCCTTCACATTTTAAGATTTGACACATTTTCCTGGTCAACTCACACACAAACAAAATCAGAAAACCCTTTCCACTACCTGGTGAGGATGACCCAAGGATCAGAAATTGCCATTATTACTGTTTCATTTGTTGAGAGAGTGCTTACCACGACATTACAAATACTGTTGTAATGCATTGAGCAAGTATCTATAAAATATCTGGAGAAGAAACAGATTGGAACATCTGCAATTAAAAACCTAAAAAATGTTGTTTACGCTTGGTTTTGCACTGATTAGACCAAGGCTGAAAAAGAAGTGACAAATTTCCTGTGCTTATACAGCTTGTAAAGCATCAGACAAGAACTCCACAGGGGTCTTCCTGGAAGACCAGGTTCAGTTCCCAGTAAAGCTGACTCAGCCTCTCGTTTCTCTGAAATAAATCAGCTGTCTTCAGCACAACGGGGGCAAGGGCCAGAAGCCACTTTTGGAGGCCCTGAACAAAGTCGAGCATATCATGTTGTTCCATTTGACTTTGCTGCATCATTTAGTGGCAGAGAGTTCATGAGTAGACTGCCTTCTAATAGTATTTATTTATATTCAAGAGCAATGGGAATACAGAACTATCATCACACAAGAATCAACATTGGAGAGGCCAGAGAAAACAAGTCAGAAGGCAACATTTGAAGGATTTCCTGACAAACTCCAGAAGAACAGCAGTTTTTTGTAACTTCTCTGGCTTCTAAGGTGGACACACTCCAGACAGTAAAGGCAGAGATCTAGGTCTGGAATTCCCAACCACATCTGTATAGCAAAGATGAGCCAAAAGGTCAGGTGCAGTGTTAAAATGTCTTTGAGGAAGAACAGAGCTGATGTTCTGGGCTGAACTTTATCTCTTCTCTGAATGACTGTAATTTCTGTCATTGTCCAGAGAAGAGCATTCATGCTAGAAAGATTTGTGGTCCTCTGGGCACTTTACACTGCCTTGTGAACGAGAATTGAGGAATGCTCAGGGAGAAACAAGATTATGCTTGCGGGTCAGATACATGAAAAGCCACCTCCAGTTATTTAACCAGCCCTAAATCAAGATGAGGAACTAAAAGCCAGTGGTAGCTTATATATTAATAAAAAGGGAAGGATTTGGAAGGTATTCAGACAGCCCATACATTTCCTAGCAGACAGGTTAAAGGGGATGCTGAGGGGTTGTTCCTGTCCTGACCCAGCTCTGATGGTAGAAGGAGTTAACACTTTCTCCAGTTACTTGTCATTGCTTCTTCCTCAGGAGCTAACAAACAGCTTCCCTCCCTCTGCCAGCAGAGCTACTTTTGTGAGCATTGATCCACTGAAGTTGATGAGCTGAACTGGCATGAACAGTGTAGCTGATTAGTTTTCTTGTTCTTGAGAAGTAGCACCTTCCAACATGAGAGATACTGAGCAGCTGTGGAGGACAACTGGGACTAGTCTGGCAGGCAGAGTCGCTGTCTCTTGCCAGGTGTAGCAAGACTAACTACAACTTTGTCAGGAAAGGTGGAAGAAAAGGGAGTTAGAGGTTGTCACAAATTCCTTAGGCTTACAGTGTCCGGAGACACACCACACAACAAGTTACGCAGATGATCTCAGAGCACATGAGAGGACATCTTCTGTGGCAGAGAGGGAATGTAAAATCTGGGATGATCACCATCTCTGTAATTGAAAAGGAAGATACAGGACTGAAAGATCTGGAGGAAATGAGACAGCCTATATTTTCCATAAAGAGGTATTATGAGACATGAAGAGTGTGTTCATGAACAAATGTTGGTGAAGGAGTCAGAAGATACAAAACAGTTTCAGGCACAGAGGAGAGAGAAAGGAAGTCTGGAAGGATGGATTTCACATTGACTAGGCAGAGGTAGATAAGAATAAAATAAAGATCTTTCTCAGCAGGAGGAGAAACAACCCCTGAATGTAGCAGTATGCGAAAGATGCAGGGACATTAGCACCTCTTAATGGAGGCAGGAACAAAGCTGCAGAGACTGTCAAAATTCATAGCCAAATCTTCATTAAATTCTTCTCTTAAAACAAAGAAAGGATTTGTTTGACTCGTCTGTGTCTAAAAGACAGTGTGCATAGTGTGGATACCAGGAAACCACACCAAAAGAGCTGACTGCATTGCATTACTTGTGATAATTGAAGTACTTAAGTCATGTAGCTCATTTCTAAAGAGCTATATCATCTTCTCTTAGAAGAATTTATCTCCTATTTAAAAAGATAAGTGAAAACACACCTGGATCAGATACTTCAGACACTTTTTTCCACAATACAGCACTTTCCTTCACACACATACATGAATACATGTGTGCACAACACATATCCTAAACTGGAAAATATTTTTTTTCCCTGTGAAAAGTCAAGCAGCTTTGCCAATGACATCCATTCCTGGTAGTATTAAGGGAGCATTTTTGTTTTCCATGGAGACAAAAACAAACAGCTCTCATGACTCATGACTGTGAAAGAAACTCTTCCTTTTCTCATCACTCCTCTCTGTCAATTTTTTATTTTTATGTGGATTGCAATTGTTATCAAAGCAAATTGCTAGGGTTAATTATAATTATATTGCCAACAGTGAACTAGGACTTAAAAGTATTTTATTATGAGTCAGAAAAATAGATTTAATTGCTGGTTCCCATTGAAAATTTCCATGTGGTAAGCAAAATCATTAATTCAGCAAGTTTTTGAAGACAGAGACTGTTGCTGTAAGACTGAACAGGTACAAACACAGAGGAGGCTCTAATGCCATTGCTTACAGCATCTTTGCTTCCTCCCTTAATCTGTCACCTGTGCTGCTAAACACTATTTATCTAGTTTATTGAATGCCCCCAAAACCGACTAATTTGACTAGTAAGTGGCACAACACCTATTAATCTCTTACTTCCTATCACAGATCTATGCTACAAATAATAATAATGTAACCCATACTGAATGCCGTGGAAAAAGAAAAAAAAAAGTCAGAATACTGACCAGGACCTTGTGTCAAAAGAACATTATCCATAGAATAGCTAGGAGACACAATTTGTGCTGTGGGAAACACTAAGGAAAAACCGCATTTTAAACAAAAAAAAAAAGTTTTTTACATTAAAAATAAACAAACAAAACAAAAAAAATAGAATACACATTTTTATTACACATTTACAAGATGCGAGGTGCAAGCAAACCCTACAGCATTTTTATTATACTCAGAGGCAAGCTGTCATCATTTTAGCATAAATGTCACTCATCTGTGTGAGGAGTGAAGAAAACTAAAGCAGAGCACAACCATTTCTGGATGTAGCATTGCTTACACCAACAGTGCCGAGTAGCAGAAGCAGGCGCCTTGACAATAGCAGCAACAAGGAGAAGGGGACAGAAATCCACACTAAACAGGCAGCAGCAAAGGGGGGGTCACGGTCAAGAGCTTTCATGAACATTTATTGAAGACCTACGGATAAAAAAACAAAATAAGAGTTGTCTACAACAGAAATCTGATTTCATGAATCACTTAATTAATACAGAATATAAAATACACTCTTTATGTTGTTTGTAATATGGGGCCCATAAAGGACTTGCGCTGCCTGAACTAGAGTGAGCAGAAACTCTTACTCAGTTTCCTTCCCTCTCGTTGCAAGTACGCTCCCACACTCAGATAATTCAGTGCAGAGCGGATGTGTTTCCAGCTTCCTGAGTGATGCTACACTTGCACTCATTTAGTAATATCCAACCAAAACATCTCCTGTCACCTTCCTCTGGGGGGAATTGCTGCTGTCGTGTTGGATGATGGCTCATCCTCTGTTATAATTCACCTACATCCCTTCTAGTCTAGGCTATGGCAAGGAAATAGGTCTATGCTTTGAAGCCATAATTGTGTAGGAAGTTATGAACAGTCAAGAATTCTGCACGACACAGAGCTGTACACATTCTGTAATCACAATACACTTGATTTTACTCTTTCCAGCATTCCCTCATAGAAAACTAATCCCTGTTAAAGACCCTGGGATTTCTTCTCCAAGTCCTTGGTGGTTCAGCATATCTGAAGGGATAAGAAAGGAAATCACTGACTGCAGCTCCTTGTTGTGCCTTCACAGACACAATAGCATTTTTTGCCACAAGAATAAAACTCACTGGTGCTGGTGACAGTGCTTTCTCAGGGATCTGACTATCCCTATAAAAAAAAAGTAATTCCATAGGAGCTAAAGACCATCCCAGTCCCCATCATTTATTGACCATTATTTTCTTTCTCTAGCAGAAATTACTAGAATCATGAATTTAAGAACAAAACCAAGGGAAAGCTTACAAAGTGTTATTCACACCACTGTGTGGCACACAGCGAACACAACAGTGCTCAGAGGGAGAGAGGATAAAGCCAGACATCACAGAAGTTAGTCACACCACTTAACATTCAGTTAAAAACCAAGGCACTACAGTGGATGTGGTATGGGAGGGAAGTCAAGCAAACTGGTAAACTGGCAGCTGAAACTCTTGCTTTTAAAGCTTGCCTGTTTTCCTGCGTGGCTCTGCAGTAGAAACAGTTTGATTCTCAAAAGAAGATGAATCTCTGCTCCTCACAATGCATTGTAGCACTGATGACCCAAGGAGAGGTCAGTTCCTTCCCTCAATCTTATCTGCAGAGGATCCTCTACAGACTATTTTGTAGAGCAGACTGCAGTGTGCTTCAAATCCAAGTGCACCACATGCCTCCGTGGCAAAGGGAATTTGTCACCAAGCAGAAATAGCTTGCTCTGCACATTTAATCTCTCACTAATACTACTTGAGTAATTCCCTCCCCCACAGCACAATTTACCCCAAGGACTTTCATGACCTAATGAAGACACGAGAATTTTGCCACCGGCTTGAATACGTAGGGAGGAAGCAGACTGGTTCTTCTTTTTACTAGCAGAAGCTTTCTTATCAACAGAAACAAGTAATAGAATAAAATCACCAACATATTTCAAACTGAGTGCAAAGTATAAGAAAACAAAACAAAAATATCCTACCCTCACATTGTGCTTTGAGTTGTAACGTCACCGTGACCTTTGTGTTGTGCATTTCATTTAACGCCACACATGTAAAATTTGCCTGCAGATCCTCCTTTTTTACTTCAGTAATATGCAAAGTGGTCTCTCTGTAATATTCTTGCTCATGTCCTTCAAAACTAAGAGAGAGAAAGAGCAGGTACCTTTGGCTTTAATGGCACAATTTGCATAGAAGAAAGATTATTCTGTGTTATATATACTTACAAATGAGTTTTTTCATGAAATCTTGAAAAATCTAAATATTTCACCGAGATGTTGTCCACATCCCATGTGACAACAGCTAGTGGCTGTTTCTTAATCCCCAGGCGAGCCTGACATTTCAGAGACAAAGCAGCACCTAATCAAGATACAGAGGGATGTAAACATTCCTTGATGAAAACCAAATATAATTTTACTTTCCTCATAGCATGTTTTTCTACAAATCTTTATACCACCTGTGAGTTTTGTCCTGTTTTGACATATTTTTCTGCTGAGAAAATGATGCATAGAAGAGACTCAAAAAGAAACAATAAAAGGAGATTTTAACAAATGATCTAATACAACACCAAGGATTACAAAAGGAATTTTTGTATTTGTTATGATGAATGCCTATCCACGCAATTGACTGTTGAGGAACATGGAAAGTAAGTGCTGGTTTACACACAAATGTACACGGAAATAACATAATGTAATTTTAGTATATATTATTTTGCGTAAGTCTTGCACACAGAGTCTTATCTTGGATTTTATTCAAGATGGACAAAAGCAAAGTAAACCAGGAAATTACTTATTAAGTATTTGTCATTCCAAAGTAAAAGTCACTGTTATACTGGGAGAAGGTATAATTAAAACACTTTAAATTATTTCCATGTAAATCTGCATCTAAGCAGGGCTTAGATATGATTAACAAATTTATGAATTACATCCTCAATTGGTATTAGGGAGCATGGAGAAATCCCTTCAGTTTTGCAAATAGGAGACAATAGATTCAGCACAGCAAATAGTTTTTAAACATAAAGTAAATTTGCTCCTTACAAGTGGTGCCAGATTACTTTCTGTCCCAGAGGGGTGGGCAGAGCCCACAGAACACTAGAGACTGACCATCTCATTAGAGAAAGGTGGTCCTGGAGCACAGGTCATCTAATGCCAAGTGACAAAGCAACTAGAGGAAAGATTCAGCATGGTGACTCTCTGAGTATGTGGCACCTCAGACAGGTCCTTGAGGCTCTGCAGTACCTGCTACCACAGCATTCTTGCTGTAGGACTGAAACAGTGGGGTGGTAATTGTGATCCCTGCTCCCAGTGGCCCAGATTCATCCCACCTCCCTTGGGAGAGAGGTATCCTAGGTTATCTGCTTATGTTCCAGATGGGCTCAGTCACTTTCTGGAGAGGTGACCTTTCTCCACTGAGGTTACAAAGCCCCTAGATGGCTCTCACTCCTACCACAGGCACCTTGCTCTGATGCTGGAAGTTACACAGAGTGAATCTGAATCACTGCAAACATCTGTGGTCCTAAATGAAAGTGAACCAGGGGCCAAGCTCTGCACTGCGGGCTTTCCAACCTATCTCTGCGTTCACTCCTTGGTCCTGTCTTTCAGCCCTCCCAGTATCTTTCAACCAGACAGGTCTGCTCAACACTAGTCAACATGCACACGAGCCAGGCAGTGCTCTTCAGCCTCAGAGCCAGCGACCACTCCCTTCTTCTCCTTCATTCATCAACAGAGACACAGACACTGTTCCCACATGGGGACTGTAAGTAACAAGGAGAATCTCTAGCTGCGATAGCCCATCCTTCTCTCTTAGGGGTACCATCAAGCAGTGTCAAGGGATTTAGCTAAAGCCCTCTTTGAAGTGGATGGAAGCTGTCACCCCTTCAGCTGAGATGTAATAATTGACTGTGTGAGTAATCCTACTCTATCCCAGTGATGGTAGAATGGGTTATTTAAATCCCCTTAAACTCCCACTTAATGGCTAAGTAAGCCATCAGTTATATCTAACTTCACATCACTGTGGAATGTGGGATGAATTAAATCTGGTAAACATTATGGTGCATAACCGTTACAAAAAATTCCATCATTTAATCTTCCTGAAGATCCTCATGTTCACCAGGCCATCACAAAATGTTAATTAAAAGCCATTTAAAGTCTGTACTTACCAAGATCCACTTCTATTATATCTTTATCCTTTGGAAATAAAATTTGAGGAGGTAGTGGTGAGTGCTTTGCTTTAGAAGTTAAGGAGTAAAAGAAAGCACATATTAGAAAGTTGTGAAAATGCATTTTATAAGATAATGATTATTATCTGTACAGTTAATATTTTAAGATCCCAAAGCAGAATTGTAAACTACCACTACAACAGTGTTTCACATGTCTGTCGGGACCATCTGGTTTTATTCCCAGGCCCAGATACTTCTGGAAAGTCTTTACATGTTAACAATATAAGCATTTTTCTCCCTATTTATTTAATTTTTACATTTTTTACATAAAGAACAAGGAAAAATTTTTGTTTCTCAAGTACTGTTTTAGCTGCTGAGTGGGAAAAAGGCAAATGCAGTTATAGGTTTGTGTGTTTTCTCAGTTGCTTATTTTTCTTTTAAAAAGAGATATAGAGATCCCTTACAACATTTGAGAAATTACTCATATCCATGATCCAAATCTGCCTTCTGCCCACAAGATGGGTACCTCCCCACAGCAAAAAGGTCTGATGTCAGTCCGCAAATGAACATTATCTATATTTGCAAAAAAAAAAAAATAAAAAAATCCACAACCCAATCCCAAGGCCCTGCCCCCCCCCAAAAAAAAAGTCTTTCTGACTATGTTTCTACTGATCTGATTGCAGAACTGAAGACACATTTTGAAGTTTTACAAGTTGATCCAATCTCGAACTGCTGATTGCTGCATGCTCTTCCCCTGACCACCATCCAAATACAAAGCCTCCCTGAGTAGACTGCACCCCAGAGGCCCCCCTAAGTCCACACACCTCAGACATTTTGGCCACATTCAAAATGACAAAGACACAGGAGTCACTGAGCTCCACTCATTTTCTGTCTCATATTGCTCATTTTGTCTCATTCAAGACAAATCTAAAAGATTTTTCAGCCCTACTATCAAATAAATGCTAGATAATCAAGACAGACCAGAAGATATTGATTTGTAGGCCATCAACACATCAGTGATCCAGTGATCACCAGATGATCCTCACTAGCTACAAATTCTTCTCCCCTCAAACAAATACAAAGCAGAGCTTTGTGGCACCCCACTGAGGACACCCTTCATTTCAGAAATGAGAGCCACCAGACAGTTCTTCCAACAACAGTATGGAACCAGAGTCGATACAGACTTTTAACAAAAAGCTGAATGTGACCAGGTCTGAGTTTACCCCCATCTTGCTCCATTTGGATTCCCATCCAAAAAATTCACCTAAAAAAAAGCTGATCTAAAGTTTTGCTTAAAAGATAAAACAAACCACCAAAAACTCTTTTTCTCTTTAATGTACAGAAGGAGTTTCCTTTGCTTTAAGTAGATAGGAGTCTCCTTTATCTTAGGAAGTTGAAAAGTGACTCTTACCCTTACTTATGAAAATCCTTGTTGCTGATACATTAAACACGTTTCCTTTATGAATGTAGATAAATCGACAAGTATAATAACCATCGTCCTCCTTCCTTGGGTTGTTAACAAAAATATATTTTTCTCCCTGGAAGTATCTCTGTCCCTGAAGAGGTTTGCAGTCCTGGAAAAGAAAACTTCCTTTATTTGGCTGCAGATATCTTCTCACAGTAATCTGATCTACAACTGGTACTATCAGGGTTTTATTTACCTTATACCACTGGATGATAGTAGCATTCTTATAATTGTCAATTGTAGGACAAACAATTTTTCCTCTTCCAGTGTCATTTGGGTAACGAATTTGACTTGGGAAACATACTCCTTGCTTGTATGGATGCACCTGCACACTCATGTTGAACGACTTTGTGCGATTATTTGAACTTTGAAAATGGAATAAAGGTATGTCAATGGTAGTATTTTTATATGGGATAAGTTAAATATTTGTAACAAATGTGAGTCTTGTTTTATAAACATATGGATGACTATTGCAGTTCAGTCACAGATTGATTTTAATGACCTGTCATAAAAGCAGCAATTGCAGGATGAAAAGTTACGTGAATTGGTGTATCTCATGAAAAAATGGCATAATTTCCACAGCTAATAATTAGAGTATATTATTAAAACATAGGTGTTTCTCTCCAGTCTTACAACTTTCGCTTTTCAATGTTGCACTTACAAATGTATAACACAAGTGTAGTTTCCAGAATCCTCTCTAGAAGTTGGCAGAAACCAAAGAAATTGTTTTAAAGAAAATATTCGTGATCCCTCGTCTTCTGCAGGAATTATTTTGTTAGTATCCATGTGATACCAGGTGAACTTCACAGATGAACTCCATCGGGGACATTTTATAACTAAAGCCTCACCTTCCATTGCATCAACTGCAAAGGAACAAAATATGAAAATCTCAGATTAATTAAACCTTAGCCCCAGTGAGACAGAGGAGAACTTGTCATTCCTGGATCACTAGGCTAGTTATGTTCCTCTACCTTCCCTGGGTTTTCAAATATGATATACAGCAAACTTATTTGCACTAGATTTTTTTTCAAGAAAAAGTTGTTTACCTTGAGTTATTGAGCCATTTGTTTGCAAAAAAAGTAATTAATGAGTGGGACCAAAACAAACAAAGAAGCAAACAAACTCCTGGATTTAAACCAGCCATATACTAAAAAATATCAGGTTTTAATTGAAAAAATTGTAATTTATTTAAATGAACTTCTTATGCAGATCTTTTCTTGAAATTCTGGTTTTGTTCAAAACCGGAATTTAGACACAAAGAAAAGTACTGTCTTTAAAGCTGTACTATGAAGTTAGCTTTCCTTACTTCAGTATAACGAATATTTATTTAAAGAACAGAGAAGAGCTATTGTTCTGCCTTTTTATCTTTTTTTTCCCCCATGGAAGAAAAAATATAGAAGGAGGAAGCCTGTAGATAAGATCACTTTTAAAAAAGGCAAAATCCAGAAGAGCTTCTCCCTGAAGTTCATGAAAATGTGATAAAAAGTAAAGAAATGTAACAGACTGAAAGGAAAAAATTGATGGGAAGATGAAAAGATGCCAGAAAGGAATAAGAGGCAATTAAGAAGCTTAGGAAAACAAACCATACATGCTCACACATAAGAAAAAAAGAGGAATGAGTTGGGAGTATGACACTAAATTATTATTTTTTTTAATTGAGTATATTTCTACTTTTGAATACTGAAACTAGTCCAGAGAAACATTAATTAAGCAATTTTGACATATATTTAAGTCACCAGGCACTTGAATAGCGAACTGGACAAAACTAGAAATGCTAATCCAAAACTTGAATTGCATTTTGGAGAAGAGAAAGGTGAAAAAATAAGCAAGGATGTAGAATGGACAAAGATGGAGATTGGCAGAGGAGCTACAGTAGATAAAGGAGCATAAAAATGAGAGTAGGTAACCAAATAGCTAACCAAAATAGAGAATGCCTATCAAAAATGTCACTTTGTGGGAGTATTGCCACCGCCTGCCTTTAGACACATAGGTGCACAAATCAGGTGGTGAGTCTCACTACATGGTGAACACTTGGCTTCTGCTCTGGTTCTTTCTAAAGAAGTGGTCCATCTCCAATGAGATGAGACATGTTGTCTCACTTACTAATTCAGATACCTAAATTAGACACATCAAGTACCTCCAACCCCATAATTTTAACAGCATTCTCACCCATGAGCCTTGCAAAGACAGTGGGATGTGTCAGGAAAGGTGGCATTGCCCCACCGAAAGAGGAATACTTTGGAAATACAGCTTTCTTCAGGGAAAAATAGAAGAGGAGAGGGAACACACATAAAAGGAGAGGCCTCATCTAAACTCAATGACATCAGTGAAAATTATCTTGGCAAATTCTTGGCCTCTTAACAAATCTAATTCATTTGAAACTTAGCATTTGGCTTCTTAACAAATCTAATTGCTTTGAAACTTATCATTCATATTGTTAAACTGAGAATACGAGGAAATATTTACATATCATATCTTACAATATTTTTCAGCCAAATAAGGAGGTCAGCTGGAGACTAGAACTACGTGAGTGCTATGTAATGCTGTGTCACTGGTCAGCACTGGTCAGCACTACATAGCAAAGTCAGCAGAGCTGACCTGTCAGAAGTAGCTTAGTGTTTTGAATATCCCCCATGTGCAGGGAAATGTTATGCACTTTTGGGTTAACACCCCCAAAACCAGGGCATTAAAAAGCATTTTTAAAGAGCAAAGCACTCAGTTACATCCCTGGTTCAGCAGGGTGTATACAGATATGCCCGTTCAGTGCAATTTAAGCACGCTATTGGAGTCGTTGCCCAGCTGGGGCCTGGAACACCAGCTACACTCAAATCCTTTCAAAAAGCCCCTTTCATTTCAGCTTGCAGAGATTCCAAGGAGCAGAAGTAGAAGCTACACAATGTCACCGAAATGGACAGTACTCAGTGCATTTTAATGTACAGAGAAAACACACAAAGCTAGTTTTTAAACTGTGATTTATGGCTTGAGGTAAACTAGATAACTTTAGGTTTAAAAAAAATTTGCCAGTTTGGGAACAGTCTACATATTTCTACAGAATAAATCTCATCAGAAAGTATTTTTTCAAATGTGACTTACATGTTTCAGACATCATGGAAACCGAGAGGAAGGTAGATAGGAAGATCAAATGTACAAACCCCATCATATTTCTAAACCAAAAAGAAAAACATTGATAACTCAGAATATACTCTGACTACATCAATCCTGCTATTGCCATGGTACTGACGTACATCTACTAACAGATAACAGTATCATGCAGCGATAAACTGCATCATGTGAGCTGCTCTGTACATTGTGTGTGTGTGTGTAGCAGTTGTTTTGCAGGTTTGAGGTGATGCTCTTTGTTCTATAATCAATGCAATAGTCGATGTTCCATTGAAACTACTGTTATGACGTGGTTTAATGGGTGTAGGGGAATTATTCTGCCATGGTGGGCCTCAGGCAGAAGCCTCTTTTTGCTTGGTTGCTTTTTTTTTAAGGAAGGTAAGCGTACATTGGCATTCCCTTCACAGTCAAGTGCAGAGAAATTATACCTCAATTTAGGAAAGGATAGATTTGGATTTGAAAATATATACTCTAACTCTGAATTAAGCTTTCATCCAATCAACTGCTTAGATGCACAACACCTTTTTTGCTTTCTGTGGAAGTGGAGGTATCTTCAGTGACAGCTTCACTAGGTAAGCACTTAGCAGTAAGAACAAAACCAGGTGAGTGCCATCAGCAGTGCTCACCTGAAGGGAAACTGAAGAAATGGACTGGAAGGGTAGGTAAAGGAATATATATTATACTTGTGTAACAGCAGTAGGGCAGATCCTGTGCCTCACTGATGTTTTCATTTGTGTCTAATTGATATGCACCTGCTTTAATTTGCACCTCACAGTGTGGCTCAGGCACTCGCCAGCAAACCCCTTTATTAAAGAAACTGGTTATTTGTCTGTGAACATTAGGTTGACCTAATCTAGGAGTATCTCAGGAGACAGCAGACGTGCAATCCAGCTATACTGCACAGCCGTAAGCATTCTACTTACCATTAACAAAGCCTTCACTTGAATGCTGTCTTTCACTGCAGATCACAGTGGTGGGTTCTGCTATCAGGTACGAGGAAGAAGGGGTCCCATGGTACTACAGATGGCAGATAAGTTTTCAAGATAAATCAAGTTAGAAACAAATTATAATTTATCTGGCAGATAGTGAGCACAAGAGGAGTAGTGAAAAATAGGCAAGAAATGTACAGGCAGGGTAAGTACTGTCGTCACACTTACTGCAAGGAATTTTTACTTCAGTGCCAAAGATTTCCAGACTAAACAAACATCGACAGACCTTATCAAGACCTATGTTTTTGCCAAGTCTGGAATTCAGAACAAAATCAATTTTGAGCTTTCAGAAGTCATCGGCTTTGTATTGATATGGAAAGTTTTCTTTTATAAGGTTTAATAACATCCAGAGGCTTACTCTTAAAATTGTAAAAATAATAACAGGCTGTAGTGTTGGAAGAGAAAAGTGTGAGAATTTCAGCATAGCAATTTTGCAGGGATACTCACAAATCACAGAAAAGATGAGGTTTAGACCGAAAAAGCAGTATCCCAGCATTAATGTGGTGGCAAGGCTAGTGCCATGCCTTTTATGGGAAGTGAGTGACCAGCCAGGAGCTAAAAAGAAATTATTTGCATGAAGAGCTGCTCATTTTCATTAGAGCTGGAGAAAAGCACTACATACAAGCATATAAAGTCTGTTGACTTCTTTAATTTTAAGGAAATCTTTGTCCAGGTTAATAGTTTTTTATAAGGTACTTTTCAGCACAAGAAATGTCAGGAGTTTTCTCCTGGAAGGGATGAACGAGCTGGCCCAGAAGAGCAGCCAGGAGTGACCTGGGACAGGGTAGGACCTGAAGGAGGAAAGATACAGAGCAAAACAGCACACAACAAAACTCACAGCAACAACAGCAAAGCGTTTGTCTTTGTTCATCCTCTAGAGCAGGAGGCTTGTTCCTAGAACTTATTTCTGACACTACCAGGGAGAAAACGAGATTAGCAGGTGGGAATGGGAAGCTGAGTTTCACATATCTCAACTATTAGAGGCCTAGATCCAATTCAGGACCTAAACAGATTTATATTTGCCAACAACTCTTTTGACTTCATTCATCAGCTGAGGTCTACTTCGATCACAGTTGGAAGATGATACAGGGACACACGGCTCCATATTCTCCTGAGAAAGAAAAGGGAGGTGCAAAGACCCTGCATATATTTGTAATCCAGTTTGCTATTCAGCTGATATGAGCAACATTTGATCGATAGATGGTGTCTCAATCTCCTGAACAGCACATCAGGAGCAAGTGACGAAAGTTTCTCTGACATACTGCAGTGAGCACCTCATTTCTACAGTCCATGAGACATTCACCCGTTTCATTTCTGTCTCTCTGGGTAAAATCGAAACACTGCCACCTAGCTCTGATCTTTCTGAGAACTGATTTTCTTTGACTTGTTTTCATGAGCCTGGTTATGATATAGATCTTCTCTAGAACACCACTTCATTCTCCACATTAATTTCCGCTTTCTTTAACAGTCTTTCAATACCTGTTACTGTACCTAATTTTATTAGTTCAAATCAGCTTTGCTTAGCCTATGCCTCACTTGTTTTTTCTCACAGAAATGACTTTTTTCACTTGCAGCTCACAAGAGTCATTATTGCTCATTCCCAGTAATTCAGCATCTCCAGATACTTGTGACTTCGCTGCTTAGCATTGACTTATCCAGATGAGACCTCTTACTCCTAAAAGGTGCTCTGTCCAGCCAGACAGCCAGTTTTTCAATCTGACTTTAAAATAGTTGGTACCCACATTCATTTGGAATGGCTCACTTGCCCCAGAGAGGGTCTGACTAACACTTCACGGACTGCAGCAGGGTATACGCACAGTCAGAACTAGTGGTGTACCAAGGGAAGGTGAATCCCTCCAAAGGGTGTTTATGCTGCCTTCCAGAGCACTGTGCCATCAGATGCTGAATGCCTAAAGCATGCAAAATACATGTATGTGCATACACATACACAAACGGGATATGCAAAACACTAGCTGCAGCAGGGCTAGTTCATCCAACTGAGATCGGATACATCTATATCAACTGAGTCTCTGCAGTGAAGTCTCCAAACAGACCCCAAGAATCAGCTAAGTGAAGAAGTCTAGGCTGAATAAGAAATAAAATTTAGTATCACCAGATTATTTGAGTAATTAGACATAAAAATACATTCAGAATATTCCTTCTTCGCTGGGACACTTTTTCCTCCAAGTGTTTGGTTCTGTTCCATGAACATATTTGCCCCCAATGAGGTATACCTGCAGTTACACTAATGGTTCTGCTACTTTTAGAGCTATTTTGTTTAAGCAAGCGGATACTTCAGCATGAAGGCAAAAAGTGATGGATTTTTGAAACTAGATTTGAAGACTGTCTGAAATGAGGTTCTTTCCCAATTGATATTTTATTTCTTTGTGTCTCTTTGTATTTGGCCACAATTGATGCCACTATTGGAGATACTGGTGAGTCCCTTATTGCCAGTGCTAGAAATGGAAGGCTGGTATTTAATAAAAAGTTGCAAGGACCTGTGCTTTCTCTGTTTTTGAGATACAGCTTTGTCCAGGAATGGAGGTGGCCAATTACTTGCCCTCACTAACTCTTCTAACAAGTGCCAGAATGATCCAGGAGTGAGAAATTTGTATTTGCCTATCATCATACTTGCTAGCTGTTGTAGTTAGCTTTCTGTTTCTTGAAGTTGTCTTTGAGAGAGTCCTCATGGCACGGAGTTGGAACTCATGATCTTTAAGGTCCCTTCCAACCCAAACCATTCTATGATTCTATGACCTTACACATACTGGGCTACCAGCCTGCACCAAAACAGTCCGAAATAGTTGTGCTGAAAGGACAGATTCTCCCCGCCTAACTTTCATGGTTGCTTTGTTGATTTTCCCCCATTTTTAAGTTGCTGTGTGTTGGTGGAAAACTTCCATATGATGCTGAAAAAGCACTAGATCCAAATACAGAGATTTGGATAAATGAGTATGTCAAAACCTAGCCCATAATGATCCAATATCAAGAGAAGATGAAAGAACTGGGGACCCCCTACTTATGGTGCAGAAGCAGTAGTCTATAGGGCTTAACTCCTTGCTTCTCCAAAGGCAACTGTGTTAGTAACATACTTGTGATTTTTTTTTCCAAAATCGTATTTGTCAATGAACTGTTCATAGTACTGTTTATATAAGTGAACAAACATTATAAAAGTATCATACCTTACATACTAACAGAACTTGGAAATGCTATTGCAATTTCTACTTTAAAAACCTTAAAAGACTTTACAACATAAACATACCATGAAATAGCAGTTGTGTGAGATTTGTTTACTAGACATAGAATTCATTCATTCATTCATTCATTCACCTTTTGAAAGTTATTTTCATGCTTTTATCAAATCAGAAAACCCATTCTGTCTGAAAATGGGCAATTAAAATAGCAGCAGAAACACTGAACTTATTCAAGAGCTAGCACTCACAATTCTTAACACCTACACTAGTTACAGCTGTAAGTGTAAAATTCAGGAATTTCAATATTTAAGTATGCAAATGCTAGAACTGATATGCACACTATTCTTACAAAATGTTTTGAAGCAAAAAAGTACATAAATATACTATACTCTGAAAAATACATTGCACAGTAAATATTTTCTGTGTCTTTGAATAAGTAGCAAAAATATCTGACAGAAAACTGCAGACAAATCCATTTCTAAATACATTTCATTATAAGGTAAGTCTTTACAATGGCCCTAAAATTATTTGTCCATCACATAAGTGTATCCCCTATTTTAATCTCATCTTTTTTTCTTGAGATAAAGAAGCACATAAGTTAACTGAAATAAACTTTGTTATAAAATACTTCATACTATTTCCAGCTGAATCAGTTTTGGTTAAATGATAATATAAAAATTCAACATACCATCTGGAAAATTCAGAAAGCAAAGAAGTGGCTTGCTCTCTGTGGCTGGGTTCTCTGCACTGAATTCTCTGCTGTAGCTTGTACCAGATATTACTGGGAACTCTTTTTAACTGGCTTGTGCAGTTCATATCTGTAGGAGCAAGATATACAGCTTCTTTTTGAGACACCT